TACTACATTTATTATATTATATTATTTTTTATTATATTATTATAATATTATAATTTATTATAATTGTTCCTTATATTACAATAACTCCAAATTCCTATGTGCCATATCCATGCTGAGTCCTACCAGTCCTACCAGACTTGCTTAAACTTTATTTCCGCTTATATTAAAATCGTGCGCTTTCATACCATTCGATACGATAGATTGTAATTGACATATTGTTCCTTATATTACAATAACTCCAAATTCCTATGTGCCATATCTATGCTTTTCGCATCGAGTCCTACCAGACTTGCTTAAACTTTATTTCCGCTTATATTAAAATCGTGCGCTTTCATACCATTCGATACGATAGATTGATAAATAAATAATTGACATGTCGAAAAAGCGGTACTACATTGTGTTTTAAAAAAGGATAGACACCTGTAAAAGGAAAAGAACAAGAATAGTGGACTCTCGCTCCCGGGTGATCATCATTCTGGATCAACGGCCGCGTTGTCGTTTCCACGCAACGTTTATATTCCTAAACATGACCTCCGCATTATGATAATTCAGAATCCAATATCTGCACGTCAGCCCGTGTTCTTTTCGCTTCCGACAACCAGCCGAATGTCATCGATTTGTAGGATACAAGGACTTTGTAAGAGACGTGCGGGAATTTGCTTTCGCGAAAACACGTATACATATTTGCACACACCAAAAATAAAATTTTTTCCAATCAGATAAATACATTTTATTAATTTTGATTTCTTTTTTACTCAAATAAAATAAACTTTGTTTCCAAAAATGTTTTGTTTTATTAAATAACAGCCAAAAATTAAAAAATGTTTTTTTAAAGGAAGTAATTTAGTATGATAAAGATAAAACCCAAATTCTTTTTTTTATTTGAAAATACAATACTTTGCTTTTATTTTATATTTTACTAATTCAAATATATTTGCTGCTTGATTGAAATAAGTAATTCTTTTGCAAGTATTTAAATAAATAATTTTTTTAATCAAATAAATTTTTTGGGATTTAATATATTTTTTTTCAATTTCTCAACAAATGTAATGGGTTAATAATTATTGACCTTATCACATTAATCATGTAAACCGGAAAGAATATCGCTATCGTTCCTTTCTCCATCGAGATCGAGATAAAAGTTTTCTTATACATTCTCTTTTCTTTCTTTTTTTTGTCAGATTTCTCGTACGCGAATGGTTTGATAATTGATCGGTAAACGCCTGAAATCACGGGCACGCAACGCTCGCGGCTTTCATCGCGTGTCGATGTATCATTAGCATATACGCATGTTAAATATGGGCCATAGAGAAAATGTGAAAGCCATGTGGTACGCCCCTGTAGGGACCCTCATCTTCGACATTGAGAAAAGTGACCTCCTTTCGCGACCTGTCCATTACCTATCTCCGTCTAGATGTCTTAGGTATGTAAGACTGTTATTATACTCATTGTCAAAAATGCTAATCGATCATTCCATTGATCAATAAAAATATATCTCGAAATATTCTGTATTCACACAATGTAAATCTACACAAATATTATCTGTATATTTATAAAAGATTTAATATTGCAGTATGTTATATTATTATTCACGAAGCAACCTATAATAAAAGATCTAAAAATATTTAATAATTAAAAATATTTTTAAATTATTATTTTTAGAGGCACTCTGTTCAAAGAATAAGATTTGTCTTTGTATTATTAGTATAAAATAATCTAACGAGTATTAATATTAGTTTTATTTTTCATTAAGGAATTTTATCACCTAATTTTAATACCAGAGAATTGGAAGAGCTATTGCATTAGGCCGTGCAATCTTTTGGGTTGCCTTCGTTTCTATCCGTTCGTGATTCAGCACATTTAACAAAAGTCTATGGTACGACGAGCACAATACAATTCTAATAATGTTACAGATTCAGAATTCTCGAGTCGAATTAAATCATTTCAAATCGGCGCATGACACACGGTGCTCCTTTTTTTTTTCAAAAAGAATGGAGAAAGCGCACGCGGTTAAAGCATTAAAAGCAATCAACAAGGGCCTGAAGGAGAAAAAAGACTTTCTAGGAGCGGGATCGTGGCTAAAACTTTCTCGAGAATATGATTCCGTTCACGAAGTCGCGATCGAAAAAAAGATTTTTGAAATAGAGAAGCGAGCCCATAACATCGTTCCTCTTCCTCGGATGAACCAGGATACTAGATTTCTCTTTACCGTGTATTTTTTCCTTCCCCCCCCCCCCCTTCCAATCTCATAATTCATATTATTATATCTAAATGCCTGGAGCTCTTTTCCAACCGACCGTTATTGACAACGAAAGATTCACGATTCTTAAACAATCATTTCTAATACACTTACCTAGTAAGTCGGCTTCAGTCGTGAAGTAAGATTCGTCATTCTCGTGGCCTATTCTCGATGCAAATCTATTGTTTCCCACCATGGCACGCCAAACTGTAAACGAGAAGAGAAGAGTGTCAAGACCGGAATTCGTAATTTATATGTATGTTTCGGCCAGAAGAGTAATTTCTTCTGCGATACACGCTCTTGGCTAGAGGAACGCTTCCTTACTCATTTCCTTGGCGCCGCGCTGATAGGGGTCCAACTGATCGAGAACGTTATCATTCATGCCGGCGAGGCTCCTTATGCCGGATACAAGTAGATTCTTATTGCAGTCCGGCCTCGATGAATCGGCGCAAAACTGTGCTACTTGTTTACTGAATAATCCGTACAAATGACTCATCTGAAACGAGAGAGAGAGAGAGAGACAGATTTATTTAAAAGCTGTAATAATCATCAATCTCATGTTTGCAAAATATGAATATGCGATGCATGAAAAATATCTTTTAATTATTATTTTAAAAATCAGAGAATTACTCTTTTAAACGAATGATTCGTCTTCATTATTAGTACAAAATAATCCAACAAGTCATATTAGTTTTATTTTTCATTAAATAAGAAATTTTATCATCTAATTTTAATACTAGAGGATTAAAAGAGATTTTGCAAGAGAAGAAATGAAACGAAGAACTAAAAAATATATAAAGCTGACAACGAATAATTATTTTCGAAAATGACATTTATCAATGTGCTCTCTTCTATGTCGAATCTTTTAAGAAATATAAAGTTGGATTGTGCGGAGTCGCAATCGGGCCGCATTCCGACCGCGTCCGGTGAAACTCCGCAATGTATAACACCGGCGATGGAAGCCGACAGTTGCAAGCGAAGAGATATATATGTATGCGCAATGCGACGTCCCGTTCATCACGTTCATCGGATTGCGCGATACCGTCTTTTCGTCGGTCGCGTGAAACGTGGCAGTCGCGATCTCGCGCCGACGATGAGGATATAACGAGAACGATGTCCACACAGATAGGCTCTCCTTTTGCGGCTCGCTGCTTCGATGACGCGCATATCCGATCTTAGAATTTCTAATGATACTTCTGTAACGACGGTATCCTCTTTTATCTACTTTTGTTCCTTCGCCTTTCGACATTCTTTGGCACGTTATTTGCGTGGATCTTACAGATCGAATGAACCGAGCCATTTAATATCGCTTTTTTGACATATATATATTCAAGACTAAAGTTAAACGGTGTCGAAAGAATTTATGACGATTTAAAAAAATTTTATGGAATTTTTATGAGGTGAGACAAAATCTTTTTAATTTCTCGGATGTGTCTTTTGAATGTTTTTCAAAGTTTCTGTCGCTAAATGTGTGCTATATTTTCTGTATAAAAAATTATTAAATACCTATTGAATCAATTAAAATTGAAACCAAGTAATAATAATAATAATAATAATAGAGAGAATATTTTTTTTTATCTCATGCTTTGCACATACGGTTACTACTATTGATTAATATCCTTTAGATCAATAATGGATTATTATTCCGTTTCCGTTGAGATTCCGGAAATTTGGAGAAAGCGGAGATTTTTTTTTTTTAGCGAGACTCTTGGCTACAGGTGAATTAGCGCGGAAAGACAATGATATGACTGTATGTTGTATGTAGTTACGCTAGAGAGATATACTTTTACATTTCCAAGCGATATTTGTACCCCGCTTTCATTTAGAAAATATTTCCCGCTGATTATAAAACAAAATACAATTTATTTAAATTGTTCAAAATTTACCTATTTGTCTCACAGATAAATGTTACAATTGAGCTATTTAAAAAATTTTAAATACATATTTTTTACCAGCGTAACATTATTTCCGTACATTATTTAAAACTCGATGATATGTCAAATTATTTCTAGTACGATACCTTTTTACTCGTCTAATCAGCCGAAATCGATATTTAATTTCTACATTAATTTGAACTCTATCGAGAAACTAATCTCAAATATACGCTGATAGTGCTCTTGAACTTCAACTCGGCATTTACTCGGCATTTGCGATCACTTTTACTTGCTCTAAGAGTATTACACACATTTAATCCGGTGCATGCAGCCGCGAAATGCCGTGTCTACAGCCTTGGCCAAGAGTACAAAGTACTTTTTTCAATAACTTGCGGTAAGTCAACATTAAAGTCAGTGTTTAACAATTAAGATTCTGCATACATTGTACTCTATTTTTAGACATGCATTAATTTGCAATAAATATCAGGAAAAAAATAGATTTAAAGAAGCTAAATATCCACATAAATTTATTTAATTAAAGAATCCGTACTAATTAAATAATTATATGTAATTAAGAAATATTTTATTTCCAGCGATTCTCGAAATTTCATAGATCAATGGATATTGGGGAAACAAATGTTAACTAATTTCCGATACGTGTTGAAAGCAGCTTTTGATGATCTTCCGTACGTTCGTTGGCTTTCGAGAATCCGCGCGATTATCGTGTCATGGCGACAATTAACAATCACCGTAATTAACTTCGCGGTAGCTGATCGTTGTAATCACGATGATTTTCAAATTTTTATAATTTTTCATCATCTTATAACGCTTCACGGGCATTGAAAACACTTCATGGAAAATATGAGAGCTTTGAGATAAAAGCTACGATCCAAGTGTGAAATCGCAAGAATAGTCGATGTCCGACTACTGTTTGATAACATTGAGTAGCTTGAGATTAATATATGGTTCCTGATTTTTACAACTTTACAATATCAAATGTATAATTTATACGAGACTATTCGCATTATCGGAAAATTTACTAACAAACAAATGTTATATTGAAGCACGATCTGCTCACTATTTGTCAAATAAAATTAAAAAAAAAAATATATATATATATAACATTACATGATTTCCAAAATAATTTTCGATTAAAATAGCTTTGTCACCAAAAGACATTCTTTGAAAATTGAGAGAAAGAGAGAAAGAGGATTCTCAATTTCTTCGAAATGACGAGCTAGTTTCGATTAATTCAAGTACAAGCTCGTTAAATAAGCGATGAAAGAAGGAGAGTAATTATTTTTCTATAATCTTCGGATTTTAAGTACTCATTTTAAAAATTATTGAAAAAATTTTTAAAACAAATACTTAAAATTCAAAGATGTCCATCAAACATTTATACGAATATTATGAATAGATTTATAAAACAAATTTTTTTAAATATTTTTACATTATATATTTTTCATTTGTCGCATTTTAACTCATTTAAATGTGAATATCGTTAAAAGAAATGAAAAGAATTTGTAGTACAAATGAGATCGCGTCCGACACGTGGTTCGGATGCAACGCACTCGCATCGAACGCATTTGATTGTTTGGTGAAAGTCCACCGAATAGCGTTGATACCACGAAGAGATACTAGCAATATCTCTCATTCGTGTTTTTATGCGAGATTAATGAAAGAGATTAAACGGCAGTAATGTCAGTGGAAATAAAAATTAAATGCGTATGTAAAACTACAGGAAATACAAAAAAAAAAAAAGATTTCTGAATCTTTTTTTAAATCTTGCTACGAAGTGTCTTAGTCAACATATCAGAGTATAAATGAAGATTGTATTATTATAGAAAAACTTTTCAGTAACATATTTCTTTTTAAAATTCTTTCAAAAAATAAGACGTGCGAATAAACTTTCTTCACTCATTAAATATGTCTTTTCTCGTATGTTCCGCATTTTTATGCATGTCTATGCATTTTTTTATATTCAGTCTGCGACTGAGAAAGACCGATCTAGAGTATCTTATGTCAATTGTTATATCCTCTTTTTTATTTATTACATGCATTATATTAAAATGATGCAAAAAATTTACCATATTTTTCTAAAAATTAGAATTGTTAATAAAATAACAATTTCGAAGTAAATTTTATCAATTGGAATAGGCAGCATTTATTAATAAATTTCAATACGATTTTTTCACACATCTCAAAAAAAGTTCTTTAATAAAAAAATTCGATAAATCTTTCGCATCAAACTATTCGTTATATTTGAAAATAATCAATGATTCTTGGTACTCACTTTCTCATCTCTCGAGAGAAATTCCCACATCGGTATCGCCGAGCCCGTAACTCGCATCGTCACGCAACAGCCTAGCAGAATGCAGGTGATGACCTTCGCGATAAGAGTCCTGCTGGTCATCATCATCATCATCGTCGTCTTCGTACGTACTTACTCTTCCTCTTCGCTCTTCACGTACTCGCGACACTCGCTTCACGCCGGCAGATGTGCAAAAATCACGCAATTGCAACTGCCGTTGTCAAACAATTGTTGTCAAACAATCAACAATAAGCTTTCGCACAGATCGTTCCGATTATCGTTAGCGTTCGACCGTCAGGTACACACTGAGCTCCGGTCTCGTTTGCCGCTTCGTTTTATGTTGACATGCGCGTCTCAGTGGCGACCACGTGCCTCCGAGTGCCCCCACTTTATTTCATGTATCCGGATTTCGTGCATACGTCAGTAGATACGAGGAGCGGAGTCCACGGGATCCGGAAAGTATTTACGCGCTCTAGGAAATCGCGCGCTGACGCGACACAAGTATGCCAAAAAAAAGGCATTCCTTAATTTTATTCGGCGCCGTATCGAAATTCCTGGGCGCGAGACACGTGCAGAGTCGATGAAAGCTTATATACAGTTTTTTGTCATAATATGGAATGAACTAGATACACAAGACGCGGAGAAATTCATCGATGCTCTATAAATTTATTAGATATATTATTTTAATTAAATTTACAGGTGTAACTTTTTTTTTATAACGTTGAAAGCTCAATAAAATATAAAGTTAATCTCTTATCTTATTCCGACAGGGTGCAAACTGTATCCTGTGATGTATCCTTTCCGTATATGATTGTGTTTATTTGATAACATTAATAGTTATCTAATAAATAATGTATCTTGAGATATTTAGTTAAATATACGTATATATGTTAGATTTAATATGTCGTATTTGACTTAAATATTTCAATTAAAAAAATACAAAGAAATAGTAATTAGTTGGACGAATTTAGTCAATTTAACAAGTTTTTTTTCTCAGTGTAGTAAACAATGAGAATAAATGCAGTATAATTCTATTTTTTAGAAGATAAATAAAAAAACATTAATTTAGAGATAACTCTATAAATTGTTTTCGGATTTAAATAAATTTAGTCTACAAATTCTTCTTAATCATCAGAAAAAAGTATATGTTATTTTACGCTAGTATTTACGTGTTATAGGAAATTCCTGAAGTGACTAAAGACGTAAAAACCGCAAAAAAAAGCGCTTCTTAATTTTATTCGGCGCCGCACTGAAATTCCTGCGCGCGATACACAGACATAGTCGAAGAAAGTTTACGGTTCTCATCTCGCACGACATAGAGTGAAATGGATGAGGTAAAAGGTGAGGATTCGTTAATGCTTTAAAAAAAAAAAAAAAAAAGAAATTCATCGATGCTCTATAAATTTATTAGATATATTATTTTAATTAAATTTACAGGTGTAACTTTTTTTTTATAACGTTGAAAGCTCAATAAAATATAAAGTTAATCTCTTATCTTATTCCGACAGGGTGCAAACTGTATCCTGTGATGTATCCTTTCCGTATATGATTGTGTTTATTTGATAACATTAATAGTTATCTAATAAATAATGTATCTTGAGATATTTGTGTGTGAGAAAGAAGTTCTTTAAATAATATCCAGAGAGATAGACATTTTATTGAAGAGTTCCAAGTGTCTTCTACTGAGAAAAAAAAGTTGTTAACTTGACTAAATTCGTCCAACTAATTACTATTTCTTTGTATTTCTTTAATTGAAATATTTAAGTA